ATTAGGTATGTAACACTGGCCATTCACATGACAAAATGTGCTTAAAAGCTGCATGAGGTCTATATCTCATAAGCAGTTAATTCAGTCTTGGACGTTTGGATCAGGATGCTAAAGGGAATGTGTGAGTAATGTAGATGCCTATGTACTCTGAGAGAACAAAAGTCACCGGCTCATGTTTCTAATGCAGCCTCACCCTCCTCTCCTCCAGCTCATTTTCATAGTCACTCACTACATTTTCTTGCTGTTTTCCTTGCAGTTTTGAAGGCTTGTATTCTCACTCCTTCACATCTCCTGCTCGTTCTGACAGTGTGCTGATAAAAAGCTACCACACTAGGCCTTTTCTTCTATGTGGAAGCAGACAAACTCAGCTTTTCCTACACTGCACCACATGGACAGCCACATGGTGGGGCGCAGAACGATTCCAAATGATTATGAAAGCTCATGAAATATTCAGATAGATCCGGGAATAATTCAAATTGTATAAGCCCACTTGCTTGTTTTTGTGAAATAGCCATGAGGGTGCAATCACTTTTGTGTGTTTAAGTGTCTGCGTGTTCCTCTTTCTATAGCCTCTGTATGTGTTTAAGCTGCGGCCACAATGAGACGATGTTTCTGCATGTATAGCAGAGTGATAAGAGTATAATATCACTTCCCTTGCTGTTATAGACTGTTGGAAGGAGGCAGATACCCCCCAACCCTCACCCCACCCACCACTCCTCTGCACTGGGCAGGTCTGGGGGCTATCAGTATACATATCTCTCATCTTTAGTTTCCTCATAGCCACTGGAGCCTAGCCAGTCCACTTCTCCACTGACACCACAATACCCATATCACATTTGTCCTCTGGCTGCTTGGGTAATGCTGTTGACAGAGAGGGTGAGAAGTGGAGTCTGAATGAGTGATTATGAGGGCAGACATGATTAGTGTTGGGCTGAATGTTTTGAAAAAGTAGGCAGAATACTGAAAACACTGCTCTAAATGGGTTCTGTACTCTGTTACAACACGTAAAAATGTAAAGCATTCAGAAAACATTCAGAGTATGTCTTAATAAGGCACAAGGGAAAAACTCTGCTTTTGTCATTTTTCTCTTAAAGCTCCACTATGTAAGTTTTGGGGATTTGGAGACCTCTCTGGTGGAACTGTGTAATTGCACACAACATATGTATGAACATTTTGTACCACTGGTTTGCTTCTGACCCCCTCCACGAGTGGATGAATCTGATAATTGCGATCATGTTGAAAGAGTATTCAAAGAGAACTCAGTCACAGCTTGGTGAAGGATGTGTCTTCTGAGGATGTGAATGAGTGATCAACTATTGTCATCATATCTTCATCACTATTAGAGCCCGACCGATATAGGATTTTTAAGACCGATATCAATATTTGAGGATGTAAAAATCCGATATATCTGTCAATATTCTTTTTTTCTACAGAAATACATCCAAAGACATTGATTTGTTATGTGTTGTTATTTAAGAGTTCTCACCAAGATAACATGATATAATGCAGTTTAAAAATAAACCTTGAACAACTATACGGGAACTTCATTTTGAGACAAGAATAATGTCTCACAGCACATAAGTGCACTTTGCCTTTTAACGAAATAGGGGCCTTTACAACACACACACTACACATTTGAAAGAGAAGCTAGAAAAGTTTGCTCAGCTCATGTTTATTTACGTGTCCTCCCTGATTTAATAATTTCCAATGCACCAACTGTAAATACAGACATGTGAGTTGCGTATATATTTACTATTGCTACCACTTAAACACTATAGTTTAACTGTTCATTAATGTTAATTGTTTTTCACTGATAAACACAGCATTAGTTAGCTTTGTGAATAATCTATTTTAGCAATTAACAATGTTATATAATGTAAATAATGTTGCTAGAGAAATTTTAGAAGTGACAAGCAAGGGAGAAAAGATAGGACCATTGTATGTTTACACTGTAAAAAGTGGCTCATCAGATCTACTTTAAAAAATTACTTCATGTGGTAACAAGCAATTGAACAAGTTTTATTCAACCTAAATAAATACTTAAATGAATGAGCGATTCTTTCAATCAATGTAGTTTTTTAAGTTGAATAAAACTAGTTCAATTGCTTGTTACCACATGAAGTAATTTTTTAAGTAGATCTGATGAGCTACTTTTCACAATGTACTCGCTAGAACTGCCACACTGTTTCGTGTGGTAACAAGCAAATTAACTAGTTTTATTGAACTTAAAAAACTACATTGATTGTGAAAGAATCGTTCATTCAAGTATTTATTTAGGTTGAATAAAACTAGTTAGTTTACTTTTTACCACATGAACCATGAACGGAGATGATCTCTGTCATGGGGAGCTCTGCTCCACTCTGCTTGGGTCAGCTTATCAGTTGGACTCTAATTTGCACAATGTTGATTTTGCATTTGAGGCCTAAACATCAAGCTGGATTTTGTATTTGACTCTGCGTGCAATGTTTGCGTGGAATAAGATGCAGAAAACCATTTTTATTGATTATTATTTTTCATCTTTTATAATTTTATTGAACAGGTAGCGAGGAAAAACCTCTGCTTCGTGCTGCTGGAATGGCTGAGATAGCAGGCAGGTCACTTCTAGCCATATACTTGCACCTGACGGTAGGCTCTAACACAGCACCATAAGCCCAGCACAGAATAGCACAAATAACACATTTGCACATCTTTAACTGAACTACAACAACTCAATTACAAAAAATGTCTCGTACACCGCAAAAGCAGCACCTCCCAAGAACCTCACTGCACGGCCACTCTGCATGGCCACACCTCCTGTGCGCCCACATACTACAGTATGTAAACATGTACGGCATTATCTGAAACACTTAAGTACTATAGTGTGTTTTTTCCTGATTCAGTAATTCTACTTCTTTCAACTTTTACAAAAAATCTTCGTGCTGCTTTAATTTATGTTGTTCCTTGCTTGCTCCAAACTGGCAGTTTTCTTCAGGTAATTTTTCTGTTAACAAAAATTTGCTTATCACTTGAATTCACTGAATTTCACCTCCGGGGGGAGTTCAGACGATGCATTCTCAAACTCTTTCAAACATGCTTCTTTTCATTGTTTGTGGAGCAACACACACCATGACTGAAAAGTGCTCCTCTAGCCTGTGCAGCACACTTTGCATTTTGAAACTGCACATTTAAGTTGAAAAACTCTTTTCTGTGCAGTGCCAAGAGAAAGTGCCATACATCACCCACAACTGACCAATCAGGATGCCTTCTCTGTCTCATCCATCATGGAGGAAAACTGGTTTTCGAACACCCAGAGCTGTAGAACACTACACAATCAAAAATTATGGTTCTTTAAGGGTTCTTTAGTAAAGGTTAAAAATGGTTCGGTTTAGAAGTTTGAACACTCAAAGAACCCTTTGCATGACTAAAGCGTTTATTGAGCTGCTCTTTAGAGTCCGTATAACAAGCAGGTTTGCTCCAAGCTGTGCACTGATTTAAAATAGTTAATAAACAAACACTAATGGTGTTTCTTTTGAAGGCATTTTTATTTAGAGGGTTAGCATAGAAATGTATTCTCCTAAAATTGTAAGAGTAACTGAATTAACATAACATGGATGGAATACAGATACTTCATTTATTTATTTTGTATGTGTTCTTTTATAACCCAGCCCTTGAATTAACTAAGGTCGATACACTGTCTTTGCTACTGGACCTTTACATTATGTGAAAGGTAGTGTAAAAGAAAAAGAGTCTTCAAAAAGATTCTTCACTCGCACGCATCTCATTTGCAGGCATGTTTTTTAAAACTGTCCGTTTAAAGGTTCTTTAAGGAAATAAGCGGCTCTTCTGTGGCATTATTCCAAATAACTGGTTGGCACCTTTATTCTTAAAGATAAAGTACAGCTTGTGATGCTGGAAAAATAGCACTGAGGGATGCTTTAAGAAGCTTTGTTCCAGCTTCTGCTGATGCTTACTAGTGTTATTCTGTCTAAATGAGCAAAAGGAAATGCTGTGAATTGGCATATAAGGTGAATTTTGATGGGAAGCTGAAGTAGTGAGTACATGTAAGTGATTACTTGCTTGCAAAGAATTTGGGCTGAATCTCAAATGGCCCTCTACTCCCTATGTGCACTATGTAGATTATAACATGATAGCTTTTACTCCCTAACAGTGTATTAGAAAGCCATTTCAACCAAAGCTGTGCGACTGCTATTTAAAAAGATGGTTCTTCAAGGGCTCTTCGGTAAAGAACATGGTTCTATGTAGAACCATGAACACTCAAAGAACCCTTTACATGATAGAAGGGTTCTTTGCATTGTTAAAGCGTTCTTCACTTTGACGGAGAATGTGTTGTAGATGGCTCTATAGCACCAAAAAGTGTTCCACTATTGTTACAAGCCCTTTCTGGTACAGTATACTACACTACCACGCTAAGTAGCGTGTCAGGAACACCAAAAGAAGTCCATTCATTAGTGTAGTGTCTGTAGTATGGGATTTTGGACGCAGCCTATCTTTTTACTGCACTATTCGGACGTAGAAGCCATAGTTTAAAGACCTGTGTTGTGCACTATAGAGGAGAAGAGCCATTCGAGATGGTTAGCGTTAGCATGTCAACAGGTGGAGCCTTACGGATAGAGAATTTCTTTCAGGTTACACGGCAACGCCCACTGAAATAGTTCTTCTCTGAGCGGGGCCCCTGATTGGTGGAGGGCGATCCGACGTCAGCTCTCTCAAAGGAGTGGAAGCAGAAAGTTGTTTTTTTTCGTGTTGTAAAGCGTCCGTCTCGCGCGTGGAAGAAGAGTAACGTTCACCGCCGTGTAAAAAAAAACTGAGGAAGGAAAAATGAGCGTCGAACCGGAGAACAGAGATTAGCTAGTTTTTTGGGGAGGGGCGCCCAGCGTTGTTGTTGTCGTGGAAGTTTGACCTTTTCTGAGCTTTTGAGCTTTTTTTCCTGACACTTAAAAATCCGTCGAGAAGCAGAAGCAGCAGCAGCGCTTCTTCTTCTTCTTCAGTCGAGACGAGAAATGTGGGAACAGGAGGAGTTCGAGAAACACTGGAGGAATGAGTTCCCCGACGGTGAGGTGCCTCAGATGAACCTCAGCTCGGTGGAGGACATCGAGAGCGAGCTGGAGAGGTGCAAGGCGAAGCTAAAGACGCTCCAGCAGGCCCTGTCGGAGGAGAAGTTCAAGGTGATCTACCTGCAGACCACCATTGCGCAGAAGAAGAAAAGTTACGACACGGAGAGGTGGGGGAGTAAAGAAGAAGAGGAGCCTCCGACCCCGGCGGCTGCGGAGGTGAGTGAGGTGGACGGGAACAAGCCCGCCGGTGTGGCTGGTAAGGTCGAGCGGTTGGACAGCAAAGTGCACACACGGGTAAAACTCCCGGGTCTTGGAAGTGTTGGAAGTAAATTCAGCGAGGAGCTGAGCAGCTCGGGCACCGCTCGCTCAGACGTGGTCAGAGGTAGTAAGACAGGAAAACCCATTCTGGTTCCTCCTCGGAAAAAGCCCATCCTGCCGAAGGAGAGCTCGAGCGGCCCGGTTCTGGAGCAGCAGCCCGTCCGCGACCTCGTACAGCAGCAGCAGCAGAAGGTGGAGGAGCGCGACAGCGACCACGAGTACGAGGACGTGGAGCTCAACGAGAACTTCGTCCGGAGGAACCTGCTCAACCCCAAGGCGAAGGCGCAGCTCCGCTGGAGCAGGGATTTGGACTCTGGAGATGAGGGGAGGCTCTCGCCCTCCATGCCGTCCCGCTGCTCCTTCGGCTCGGGCCGCAGCACCCCGGACAGGCGGAGTGACGGTTACATCAGCTCCGACCACGACGACTCGTCTTCTGCGGGTAGGAAAACAAAAGCCTTTACCTTTAACTCACAGCCTCACAACCTCAGATTTGTTTTTCCTCTGGTCTGCTTGGAGCGGTCAGGCGGCACGTGACACATGTTGTTTCTTTTTAATGCACTCTGGTGAGTGATATACTCAACAATATACAATAATAAATGTGAGATAAATAAACTTAGAGTAACTTTTACAACGTCTGAAAACTCCTTCGGTTCCCTTCGTGTTCTCTTGGTGTGATCACATGGCATGACATCTACCATTGACACATTCATTCACTCAGACACTGACCAGCAAGACATTTAGCCATATCTAAATGTGAGATGTCTTTTCATACTACAGTTGCTAGATAACAGAATGAACGTTTTTAGTTCCAAAAGTAGGTAATGTTTTACTGAATAAATTCCTTTTAATAATCTACCAAAAAATGGTGTTCCTTGTAGGCAGCTATCTGTTTCTCTGCATTGTTAGCCCCCTTTCACCCTGTCCTTCAATGGTCAGGACCCCCACAGCACCACCACAGAGCAAATACTATTTGGATGGTGGATCATTTTCAGCACTGCAGTGTTACTGACATGGTGGTGGTGTGTTAGTGTGTGTTGTGCTGGTGCGAGTGGATCAGACACAGCAGTGCTGCTAAATAACTACACATAAAAAATTATGGAAAGTCTTAGTTTATGTTATGTATTTCTGAAGAAAAAAAAATATTTTCTGATATATCAGTTTTTTAAACCCTCAAATGTTAAAGTCAGTACTTATAAATTACAGTGGAATGTCAACATTTCATCCTTGCTGAAGCATGAATATAGTAACGGTAATGAGTTGTACTACAGAGCACTGTTCTAAGTTTGTGGCTATAACGACCAGTGAATAAGAAAACACAACAGTTAGCTTTGGAGGTTTTGGGTCATTCAAGCAATTGCTGAGAGGTTGGAAAGCTTTGCCAATATGGTGTGTCATTTGAGAGGTTTTGTAAGAATGAGCTCTCTAGGGTTTTTCGTGATCGCTGTCTAGGCTTTTCAGTCCACAGGCAAAATGCCCTTTATCTGTTGAATAGACATTGCACATAGCTACCTCTATAAAGATTTACCTGATAGCGTTAGACCGTTTTTTTCCTGTTTCAGAGAGTCTTTTGTGTATTGACGCTGTCCAAAAAAAAAGCGTCTTCATTTTTTCTGATTTAAGCACTCCAGCTGTTCTTTATGACGTGTAAAAAAATTCATGCTGAATGAATCAATAGAAATGCTCCAAAATTGCTTGGAATAAAATCTCTGTATATTAACTTCCATTAAAAGTAAAGAACGTTTTGCCCTCTCCTGTAAAGTTGCCAGTTTGGAGATACTTGATTTTCTTTGGACTCCAACAATGTTATTCACCTTGTCGTTGCCACACATAAGACTTACTTTTTTCCTGTAAGTGGGTGAGGATTGTGGTAAAACAATGCATTCAGACCATGATTTGGTTCGATTCACAGTGCTGGTCTCACAATTTGGTATTCTAGTGATATTTTGAACAAAATTTGAGCATAGAAAACAGTGACTGTGTTGTTCTACAGCTTAAAAAGGACACCAGAGCTGGGTGAGAGGAGTAGTGTTTTAGTGATTGATGCTGATGGCTCACAAACTTTTGAGTTCAAATGCATTACATACATTATTAATAGAATGTCCATTCTCTGCGGTGCATTGTCACATCTCCATCATACACATTGTTAGACCTCTAGTGATGAAGAAGTGTTTCCTTTCTGCAAAATCGTAACAGCATGGCAAAATGAAAAAGTTTCTTTAGTTATGCTAGCCATTCCATACTTAAAACTAATGGCTTTCCTGACTGGAGATAATGAGAGAAACGTTATTATTATTTTTTTTTTTGCATAATGTTATGAAAGCTTGTATCTTCAGGTGGTTCCAGATGTGAGGAGTCCATGTAGGTTCAAAGCAGGCAAACCTAGATATGCAGCAAGGAAAATGAATACATGTTGCCATTCTAAAGCCTCTTATCAAGATGTAAAATCAGAATTCTTCAGCATAGCAGTGACACCGCCCAAATAAAGGGACAGACTTAGGACTGTATTCAGTAATGCAAGCAGGAAGCATAGGATTGCTGTTTGGAGTGGTTTCTTCACATTGACATAACTCACCACTGTAAATTATATGAGTCACCTGTTGTGTTCTCTCTCCAGCAGATATGAAGCATTTCTTTATGTGAAAACAGAGACCAGTTGCAGTTCATGTTGTTCTTGAAACATATCCCTGTGATTTTAGTGTTGAGCTTGATGGCACTGCAGGCGCCTACGCTCCAGCTTTTTGTGCTTAAAACTGGCATTTGGCACACAAGGTCAGGAACTGGTGCTAGTGACAGCAGAAAGGCCCAACAACAGCAATCACACCACCACACTACCGCCACTGTCTAATTATCTAAATGATGTAGGCTTGTGTGTAACATTAGTGCATATTCTGGGACTGCTGTTGTACTTTTTGGGTGCCTGTTTGTTGTTGCTTTAACCATGTTAAGGAAGGAAAGCAAGGAAATGCACGCTGAAAAACAGACCTCTCATATTCAGCCTTAAACAGTGAGTTTGATTTGTAACATTTTGACAGTTTTGGTTGAGGAACAAGTGCACTATTCTGCACATATTTCTAATGCAAATGGGATCAAAATGAAAACTAGGCCTGTTTGCCTTGAGCAGACCCAAAAACTTAATAAAACAGTCTTAAAATAGTTACTTGCAACATAGAGTTTGAAATTGTTGCAGGAAGCCGTGCACCTCAACTTCCAGATGAAGAAATGTAATGCATGGTTAAGTATGTGCTGTAGTGCTAATACATAATGCTGATGACACTGGAGTCCCAGTTTGGGTAACTGACTGATGTTAAACTGTAGTTTTTGAACGGGGATGAGGTTTCAGTGAGGTTTGTTTGTCACAGATTTCCAGTGTTTGAAAGTCAACTGGGGGTGGGATGGGAGGGTAAGGGCAGTTAGAGGCAGTGCCCTTTGGCATTAACACAAGTTATCAGCACATCTATCTTAATGGACATAGACGCAGTGATTGGCCAAGTTGCAGACACAGATTTAACACTATTGTTCATTCTTGCGCAAAAGACAGCGTAGAAAGAGGAAGAAGGAAGAGACAGTGAGCAGTGAGACTAGCCGCCAGTTAGTGGAACAAATGTAGCACACTGTTTTTGAGGCATTCATGGGTTCTTAATCTCTTTTCAGCACAAGGCCTATATTTTGAGCTTGGTTTTGCGCACTCAACCAGGGCCGACTTGCCTTGTACCCCTGTTCTAAGCTTGACCAGTAGAAACCCTGGGATCTGATCAGAGATCACATTTTGTGTTTACCATTGTCTGGTAATTTGTGCAAGTGAAAAAATGCAGACAGTGCACAGATGTTTCCTGACTATGAAGTGTGTAGCCATCACAGCACTGTGTGTATTTTGCATAGATGACACTAATTCTTTTGGCCTGTCCTCAAAGTAAGCATTTGGCATCTATTGCTTTGGCCATGTGAGTTACACTTTTGCCAGGCAAATAAGACCTAGTCTGATGTGCTTATTGCTTCTTTTAATATGGGATAATCATGGATTGAGCTCGATTGGGTGCGAATCTGTGAGAATGGAACATCTGGAGCCTGTGTGTATCTATGCATGCCTTTAATTCTTAGTAGCAGTGGATGTTTGTCTTGTTGACATATGGTGACTAAGGATAAAAAGGCATTTCCTGAAGCCATGACATGACCGAAACCAGCAGGGTCCAGCAATAAGAGTCTGCTCAGCTGCCCTGAACAGCTGAGATCAAGTTTGAGATCTGTCACTGGCTTGCTTTTAATTATTCTAGATCTCTTCCTTCTGTCACTCTTTAGACTTGACTTCCCTGGCATTTTCTCTCATTACATTCTGGATACATAAGTCAAGTGCTTAGCACTACTACACTGTGCAATATATATATATATATATATATATATATATATATATATATATATATGTATATATGTATATGTATATATGTATGTATATGAACAAATAGAAAAATCATCTTGGAAAAAGTTTAAATATCTAGCCCTGGTTATGTCTCTGAGTGTTGGTGAACTTTATGCATTATTCACTAGATTGTCAGTTATGTTCACAAGGAATGTTGCCTGACCTCCTGCTTTTCCTGTAGCTCAATAGCTTTTCAGTATGAGTTGGATTCCTGCAGGTTAATGATTCATAAGCCACTCATGTTGAAACTCAATTGAAAACCGTTTTTAATTCTGCATGTTTACATTTGAAAAAGATTGCCTGTTTGCTCTGTCAATATTGAATCTGGGCCTGTTATGGTGAAATAGCTGTTGGCTTGCTTTGCAAGTCTTTGGTTTGAGCTGAAGCCTTGATTCTATTGAGAGTTAAAATTAGCCAGATATGTGTTATCTCTTTTGGGCAGTCCCCGCTGTCCCAGTTGTGTGTCATATTGTTAAAGCTTCCTACAACCTCTAAAGGGTGTTGCTTAAAACGTAAGTCGGTTCAACGGTTTCCTGTTCAGTGAAAACTTAAAATTGTATAAAAATCACCCACCCTCAGTGTGGATGTGAAGTCAGTTATCCTAACGTTGTTAAGCTACTAGCTGGCTGCTGAGTCAGACTTCAAGTCAGATTCATTTTGAGAGTCTGTAGTCTTCCATATAGAAACCACACTTGACCCTCTGCTGTCACTGTAGCTGCTTTTTCCGGGTGAAAAAGTCACTGGGAGGTCGTTCACCACCAAAATGGTATTGTCTTCCCCTTTTTTCTTTTGTTTTCTTTTGTTATCTTTTCTTTTGTTTGCCGTCATATAATGTCTCTCATACACCTTCTCCAGTTTCACTTTGCCATTTTTGCTACAAAAGTGTAACCCTGGCGGCCCTAATAGAGTCTCTTGATAGCACAAAATAGGAAATGGAAATGTGGCGTTGTCAGGCAAGAAGTTCTGGGCATGACTTCTTTCTTGCCTGACACTTGACCGCAGACAGCAAAATCAGTCACACTCCA